CCCCAAAACCCCAAAACCCCAAAACCCCAAAACCCCTCGAAATGTCCTAAAAATTGGACATCTTTATAAAATTTAATGAACCATATCCCATTGCGACCACCGAAGGTGTCCCACGCGCCGAGAGATATGAATGTTAAGAGCAGCAAGAATGCCGATGACTCGAGTGATGATGAGGATCTGAAGAAAGTGATCTCAAATACGAGGAAATATATGGAAAATTATAACGCAACCCGAGAGATTGGATCTCACAAGCCTTATGGAAGGAACAGGACTAGACCTGACCTCAAAAAGAATGCCAAGCCACCTCCACATTACACTTGTCACCGTTGTAAGCAGAAGGGGCATTATATTGAGGATTGTCCTACTAATGGAAATCCTGATTTCGATCTCAAGAAAGCATCGAAAGGAATGCCGAAAAACCTTAAAAAGGAGAATTTAGCAGAAGATGTGCAGGATAAGTTCATTAAGACTCTTCTAAATGAGGAAATTTCATATAAAAATAATTTTAAAGCAAGTATAATGCCTGAATTTCAGTGTCTTATCTGCCAAGATGTCTTCACAAATCCTGGTCTTATGCCTTGCTGTGGTATCAACTATTGTTGGCAATGTATTATTTCTAAATTAGACTATCAAACCAATGAATTTGAATGTCCTAAGTGCAAGGAATGTGTGTTTGTTGATAACTCCACTGAGACTCCAGCTGGGAATGTCATCGTCAACACTCTTCTGGACAGGTTGTCCAAAATGTACAAGCGAGAGCTTGCCAATCAGAGATACATAAAAGAAGTGGAACTCAAGTCCAAACTCTCACATGAGATCCCTGACTTCTCCCAAGAAGTAGATGGAATAGACGCTGATCAAGATTTTGATGAAGAAAGGCTGAAGGAAGGATACAAGACTGATGACCAAGATTATAAAGCAATTGAAGAAATCCTTGGCCTGGACGGGATTGAACAGGAAGATAATGAAGACGGCCACGGCGCTAAGGTAAGTTTAGAGCGTAATGGTGTAGGCTGATGGTAGAGATCCGAAGGGATCACTGGCTGAGCAGAGGAAAAATTTTGCAAAGCCTAACCCTGCGGTGGCCATGCAGAAAATGCACCAGACGCAGCTGTCCCAAGGAGGATATCCAATGGCTAATCCACAGATGATGGGAAATCCATTTGGCAAGCAAGACAATATGTATGGAAATCACAGGGCAAAAGACATCTCAAATGTAGTGAATCTCATGCTGAGTGGAGGTATGAAAGGAATAACTGGTCTGACCAACCCAGCTATGATGGCAAGTAATATGGGAAGAGGAAAAGACCCTAAGAGAAGAGGCAAGAAAAGAGACAGAAAAGCAGACAGTATGAGACAAAGGGACTCTAGAGCATAGGTTTCCTCTTTTACTTAATTTATTTCAATGTATGTTTCAAATTTCGGGGTTTTGGGGTTTTGGGGTTTTGGGGTTTTGGGGTTTTGGGGTTTTGGGG